CTCCATCGAGCTATCGAGCTAATATGCAATACATTAGACCAGGGAACATTCTATCATAACATAGAACGAAAAGGCAATGTAAAGGATTTGGGTGTGCTAATGTCAGAAGATCTTGCCTTAAAAAGGACACAATAAAGTAGCTGTCACAACAGCAAGAAAAATGACAGGTTGGATAACAAGAACCTTTCACACTAGAGATGCTATACCGATGATGATACTTTTCAAGATGCTAGTGCTCTCTAGAGTGCAGTACTGCTGCTCTATGACAGCCCCTTTCAAAGCTGGAGAAATTGCTGACCTGCAAAGTGTGCAGAGATTCTTTACTGCTAGAACCCACTCATTAAAACATCTAAACTACTGGGACCGACTAAAGAGCCTAAATCTGTATTCTCTTGAGCGCTGGCGGGAGAGATACAGTACATAATAATTTACACGTGGAAAATAGTAGAGGGCTGGTCCCAAACCTGCACCCAGAAATAACATCACGCGAGACCAGAAGGCATGGCAGGATGTGCAAAATACCCCCGTTGAAAAACACAGGTGCAACAGGTACTCTGAGAGAGAACTCTATCAACATCAGAGGCCCAAGACTGTTCACTACGCTTCCACTACACATAAGGGGCATAACTGGCCGACCCCTCACAGTGTTCAAGAGAGAACTCGATTAGCACCTCCAAAGAATACCTGATTAACCAGGCTGTGATTCATATGGCAGGTTGCGAGCAGCTGCGTCAAACAGCCTGGTTGACCTGCCCAGCAACGAGGAGGCCTGGTCGATGACCGCGCTGCAGGGACACTAAACCCTGGAAACACCTCAAGGTAAGGTAGAGCATTAGTCAATGGAGTTCAGCATACCAGGGACCATGAGGTAGAACCTGACCCCGCTCAGAGAGGCACAGGGAGCAATGGCCCTGGAAAACACCTTGTGGTTGGGGTTTTCCTTATCTGCCATCGTCTGGGGTTAGGCACTCAGAATGGTAAGGCTTTTCCTTGTTAGGCAGGCATAACAAAACAGACCCCATGTGGTAAGACAATTGCAGCCAAAAACCGAACAGGCAGAACTCCCGGCTGCCCAATCGTTGGCTAATGCAATCCGGGGCAGTCAACAACTCTGGCCTCGGTTTCCTGGCAGTATTTTCCCTTTGTGGTGTCCTCTGTTGTTCGTCGTGTGATGGCCAGGTGTACCTGAAGAGTACTGGGGCTGCATGTGCTTATGGCACCCTTCCCTAAGTGCCTTTTGAGTACTACCCTTGAGTGTCGGTTATCTTCCATGGTACTTTCGGGACACCATTTCCATAGGGGTTTTTGCTGCACGGCATTTACCTCACCCTTGAGGCCAGCTGGGGTTTTGTGGCCCTTGTTTGGTCTTGGGTAGGGAGTGGTATTGTTGCTGGTTGGAGCATCAAGGTGTTACACAGCCAGCTTACCTATGCAGTGGCCGGTTCCTGATTCCTTAGGGGACGTTGTACTTTTGCGGGGCTTTTCTTTTGCTTTTTGTTTTGTTTGCCTGGTGGGGGTCTGCCTGTTATGGCTATAGGACCACTTATAATATTTTGGTGGCCCTCTGCTAGGCCTCCATGATTGTACATGTCACAGGGGTTTTAGTGTTTTGATCTTGCCCTTGTTAGCTTTGGATCTAACTGGTTAGCAACACCTTGTCCGGGCTTCCTGTAGAAGTCTGCCTACAGGCCCTGGAAAATCCTGTCGGAGCTGGGTGGACCTATGAATGCATCTTCAGAGTTCCAGCTAATCTCGTGTGAGTTTGAAGGTTACTGTGTGCCCTCGTCTCAGGGTGACAGTCATCACTTTTGCCTCTGTCATGCCACCTGTTGAGTCATGGACACCTTTGTCTGTGACCCAACATCAAAAGGAAAGATTCAATATTATGCCTCTTCCTTGACCACCAGCATCAGAAGGAAATGAGCAGCATTATGCCTCCTCCCTGGCCACCAGCATCATGAGGTAAGAAGCAGTATTATGCCTCCTCCCTGGCCACCAGCATCAGGAGGTAAGAAGCCTTATTATGCTTCCTCCCTGGCCACCAGCATCAGGAGGTAAGAAGCAGTTTTATGCTTCCTCCCTGGCCACCAGCATTATGAAGTAAGAAGCAGTATTATGCCTCCTCCCTGGCCACCAGCATCATGAGGTAAGAAGCAGTATTAAGGCTCCTCCCTGGCCACCAGCATTAGGAGGTCAGAGGAGCAAAAGATAGTTCTCGGTAATTATCTACATCATTATTTAAATGGTATTGGAAAGCATTCTTCCCAATCACTAGTACTATACTGTATCATGAAAAGGATTAGTGTTCCCATCCATGAGCATTCGAAGGTAAGTGGCAGTACGATGTGTTCTCTGTAGCCACTGGCATCAAGATTAATCAACAGACCCGCCATGTGCACCGAGTCCCAGCTTGCACACAGCTAGTAAAACAGGGAGCTGATATATTCAAAAGGGAATGAATTTATGCTGTAAGATAAGCTTGAGTGGCATTGCCAGCTTCTAAAACAAATTAGTTATATAGATTTACTGTATATATATATGTATATATTGATGTATAATGCTGGCCAGACAGAAGGATAAATAATGTGCATTTATTTATATTATTTATATACAAGAAGGCACATTGAGTTTGAGAGTACAAAACATTGATGTTTTTATATTCTTGCAAAACCACTAACACATACATCATTTCAGGCAGGTTCTTAATCTAAAAGATTATTTTAAGTAGATATTTGTAGCAGAATTAGAAAAATATTAATAGGTACATAAGGTATCTGTGCATGGGGTTCAATCACTGCACTCTACCTTAAGCCCATCATCCAGCAAAAATCTGCTATCAGAACAATAACAAACTCTGTTTTCAGACAACACAGGCCCCCCCCCATTTAAATCCATAAACATGCTAAACATAAACGCACCCCACACATTCTCTTGTGCCATTTACATGTACAAAACCTGGTCCCTAAATGCAAATCCTGATCTGAAGTTCTTCCTTCAGAAGATAGAAGCCATAATCACCACACCAGTAATAAATATCTCTTTGATATCCCCCAGAGTCAAACTAAATCTATGGAAACACACTATGCAAATAAAGGGACCTAGTCTATGGAACTCATTCCCTAACGAAATGAAAAGATGTCCAACCTATGCCTTATTCAAAAGTAAAACCAAAAAGTACCTAATTTTATCCTCATAGTTTCCTACCTAGTGCTTCAAACTCACACTGTATCTTGTGCTACCCACTCCCCCTTATACGTGCCTCAGTAGGCGACTTGAGCATAGTCATAATGATGCCTCAATGGGAACAAGAATAAGTTTCTGTAAGGTGAACCAAAACTAAATTTAAATAAGAAATTCTAAAATATAGCTGTGACCTTACTTAAATTAGGTGAAAGCCATGGTGATTGGACCTAAGGAATGAAACCACCAACCTTGGAAATGACTGACACTGCCCATGGCAACATAATAAGAGCAAGGGACATCTTGGAAGTAGCAAGCCATCAGCACACAATTGGACCATAAAAAGCCCTTGAGTCTGGTACCTTTCAGGTAAATTTCCCAATTTCTGGTAATAAATTTACCTATTAGGTAAATTTATGAAAGTCATAAGCTTTGGGGTACATATCAGGCTGACACAAATTTATTAATACACAATGTAATAAATCAATGATAAACTAACCTTAGAACAAGACAGCATGGTAGGATGACGATGAAAAAGAGAAACCTCTATAGAGTCAAGAGTTGCCTGTAGATACCTCTGACCAGCACCCAACTGGCACAGCAAATAATAGACACCCAATATAAGAAGCCATATCTCAATGATCCGAGGGTCACAACAGAAGGCTGATGATTATTAAGAATGAGGGATGGGTCTACAGCCTCAAGAAATGATAACTCAGACCAAAACAACTGGACCCATGCTTTCTGATGCTCTCCATCCATCTATCTGAAGCTAAAGCCACAAAAAGGCAATCCTATGAATGCAATCATGAGAAGTTAGGAATACAGCAGAACCTTGAGGAAGGACTTGACCCCCTGCCAACTTTGTTGAAATCGGGTAGAACTGATAGAAGTCATTTGTAAGCACAATACAATACAATACAAATGTTTATTCAAAAGAATGTATGTGCAAAGGACATAGGAGTAATGTACAAGTTGTAGGGACAGAAGTTATACAATTTATGAAGTTACTAAGTGTTTCAGGCAAAATCATAAAAAATAGACAAACGGATTAATTCAGTTTACATTATTTCTTATGGGAAAATTTGTTTCGACTTATGACCCATCTTTGGGAACGGATTAAATTTTAAGTTGAGGACCTACTGTACACTGTTACTTAGCCAAAGTAGTTGTATAATGTACAATTAGCAGATTCACAGAGTAATCACACTGACGTGACTGCATCAATGAGAAAATCCGTAGGAGCTGTGATGAGGGCTCAAACCTATATGGTGGATGTTCCCATGCACATGCTTCTAGAGACTAGATCACGTTGCTAGAAGTATTGAAAGTATTTTCTGTGTACTGAAAGAGGAGCATCAGAGTTAGAACAAGTTTTAGATGACAGATCCAGAGTGCATGAGGGGGATTGTGTGAAAATCCTTTTCCAGCTTTAGTAGAGGCCTCGGAAAATTCTTGTGGGTTCAGTAGAACTCCAGGTTGCAATCCTTATACGATGTTGTGGTCTAGTCCCTAGAAGCGTGTGTGAGGGAACGTCCACCGCATAGGTTTGAACCCTCATCACTGCTGCTAGGAATTTTCTCAATTAGCAGATTGGTAATGTGCAAGATTATTATTGGTTATCATTATTATTATTTATTACTGTACTGTATTACTATTTACAAATATTATTCCATTGTAATCTTGTTTATGGAACAGGAATGATGCATGAGAATTATATACCTTTGGTAGCTTGCTAAGCTCTGCTTTTCAGCTATATCCTATGTTTACTGTTTTTTAACATGCTGTTTCATGCTAACCTTTTATCTGGTTGGATACAGAGGCTGGCTCTGGGCTCCTGGGACAACCAGGACCCCCAGGACCTCCAGGACCCCAGGGGCTGCAAGGAATGCCAGGACTCACAGGGGCCACAGGAAAACACGGGGAGGTAGGGCCTCCTGGATTGCCGGGAGAGCAGGGACCTCCTGGATTAAAGGTAGTTATTTATTTTTAGTTCTTTAGAATTGTTTAATGAATGTCTGATATTACATATGCTGTATTCCATAATGAAGAGTATTTAGATACATATTACAAAAATACTGTACTGGTATAACAATTAGTTGCATTTTCTCCAATAACATCTGTTGTACTAGGGGGAACCTGGCATGGCTGGTGAAGCTGGACCTGCTGGTCCTATTGGTCCAGTTGGTCCATCAGGAGTGAAGGGAGACACCGGACCCCCTGGCCCACCTGGACCCATCACGACTGTGGTCCAGCCAGATGGCACTAACATTACCATTGTCAAGGTCAGGTGCATCAACCTCCGCTGCTGCTTCTGCCAATGCAATAATAATAAATTGAAATGTCAGAATTACAAGATCTAAGAATTTTTTTGTATTTAAAAAGCTTATATCACTATTGTATTCACCATCACATCTGCCACATATTAATGTTATTTTACATCCAATTTCTTTTGTAATTCTCCTTTAAGCGGGTAAAGGTTTTTAAAGATAAACACATCTTGTTAGCATTACTATGGAGCCTATTATATTGTAAGAATAATTCCAAATAGTCTTATATCAGAATCAAAACCTTTTTCTGAGGGGAGCCCCTACGGCTCCCCGGAGCTATCCATGGCTGATATGGATACCCTGACTATTTTGCATCAGTCGATGTGGGTGGAGTTCTAGGCCTACCGGGGACCATAAAATCAACAGAGCCAGAACCACGAGCCCCCTCAGAGAGGCACGGGGAGCAATGGCCCATAGAAATGCACATGTGATTTGGAGCATTCTATATCTGCCATCGACTGGGACAGGCACCCAGAAAGGTAAGCGCCACAAAACAAACCTCCTTCTGGCTAACAACAAAAATCGACAAACGAGTGGACAGAACTCCCCCAGGAAAACGAACTAACAAGCATGACATCACATGAGCCGCGCCGCATGTCTGCACAGCTCCCCCCTCCCTAGGAGGGGGAAGGGGGAGCCCCAGAACCCCGCGCCAGCGATCCCCGCCCAAGTTCCTCGGCTGATGGGATAATGCACGGTCGTGTGGCTCCAGCTCCGGTTCTGTCTCAGTGCTGTGACTTTTCAGTGCTGCTCTTACGGTGGTAGTGTGAGCTGGGAGTAGTATTCTCAGATACTCGGGCTGCATGTGCTTGGGGTCACTTTCCCTGAGTGCCCTGTAAGTACCGCCCTTGGGGCTTGGGGTTGCCTTCCATAAGTCGCCTTGGGTCTACCTCTGTTGGCTTTTCGCTGCTTGGCGTTTGGCTGCCCCGAGTGTTTGGGGATTTTACTTCCTTGTTTACCTTGGGGTAAGTGGTAGTTATAGCACTGGTGGGGCGCAGGGTACTGCGTAGCTAATTTTCACCTATGACAGCGGCCGGCTCTGTTCCCTCTGGGTACGTTGTCCACTTCTGTGGTTTTTCTTTTATATTTGTTTTTGCCTGGTAGGGGGGTCTGCCTTGTGTTCCCCCCCCCCTTATATTAGGTTCGTTTGTGTGGTGGCACCCCCTGCTTCGCCCTCACGGGTGGACACGTCCCGTGGGTTCAGCTTTAGCAGTTTGCTTGGTAGTTTGGGGCGCCGGTTAGCAGTGCCCTGCCTGGGATAACCCTTAGCAGACCCAGTCTAGGGGCCCTGGGAAACCCTGCGGGGGCTCTCGGGTCCGATAGTGGAGACCCTTGCGTCCCCTCTCGCTTTGTGCGAGTTGAGGGTTGCTCTGTCCCTTTGTCTCAGGGTGACTCTCCTTGTTTTTGCCTCCGTCATGCTGCCTGTTGGGTTGGTGACACATTCGACCCCGAGTCCTGCGAGCTTTGTTGCTTGTTCGTGACTCCATTCACCCAGTCTGCTGATGAATTCCCATGGGTGCAGCAGCTCGCGCGTTGCAGGGTAGGATGTTGCAACGCGCTTAGGTTTGTCGCTTCCCCGGATGCCCCGATGCTGCCCCGCTTGTGTAGGGACCCAGATTTGGGGGTTTTGGTCACTTCGGCCTTGGTTCTTCCACGCCCCCTTGTTTTTCCCCCCTCCTGCTTCCGGCCCCTACTCATCTGCAGGCTTCAGGGTCGGGGCGGGGTTAGAGGTTCTGAGACTTGGGGAGTTTCGGGGGTTGCCCCGTCCGGGGTAGCTGCGGAGGTATTCGAGTCTGTTCCTCCAGCCGATGCTCCGGGGTCTGACCAGTGGGCCCCTTCTCTTCCAGCTCTCTCGGCTGCCCCGGCTTTTTCTTGTGGGGCCGGGGCTTTGGAGGTCGACTCGGCCCCGGGGCCTGGTGTAGAGGCTCCTGGGGTTGGGGAGGAGCGGCCTTGGGGGCCTTGGGCTCCATTGTGCCCCGCCTGGATTTCCGTCCTTCTGAGCGGGGCTTACTGTTGCGAGGAGTGGGGTTTTCTTTCCCCCCTCTGCGCACGATTTGGGCTTGGATTCTGCTCCTCCCTGGGTTTGGTTCCGTGTCCCTGTGGTTTTTCGGTTCCGTCTTCAGGAGGTTTTCGGCTAACCGCATCTCTTCGCCTGCGGTGCGGTTGACCTTTGCGGCTTACCTCCTGCGTGTCCCGGAGTTTGCCTCCATACTGGTTCCTTCTGTTCTGGACAGGTTGGGCTCTATGTAGCCGTTTGGGCTCTATGTAGCCGTTTGGGCTCCTTGTCGCCGTTTGGGCTCCTTGTCGCCGTTTGGGCTCCTTGTCGCCGTTTGGGCTCCTTGTCGCCGTTTGGGCTCCTTGTCGCCGTTTGGGCTCCTTGTCGCCGTTTGGGCTCCTTGTCGCCGTTTTTGTCGCCGTTTGGGCTCCTTGTCGCCGTTTGGGCTCCTTGTCGCCGTTTGGGCTCCTTGTCGCCGTTTGGGCTCCTTGTCGCCGTTTGGGCTCCTTGTCGCCGTTTGGGCTCCTTGTCGCCGTTTGGGCTCCTTGTCGCCGTTTGGGCTCCTTGTCGCCGTTTTGGGCTCCTTGTCGCCGTTTGGGCTCCTTGTCGCCGTTTGGGCTCCTTGTCGCCGTTTTGGGCTCCTTGTCGCCGTTTGGGCTCCTTGTCGCCGTTTTGGGCTCCTTGTCGCCGTTTTGGGCTCCTTGTCGCCGTTTTGGGCTCCTTGTCGCCGTTTTGGGCTCCTTGTCGCCGTTTTGGGCTCCTTGTCGCCGTTTTGGGCTCCTTGTCGCCGTTTTGGGCTCCTTGTCGCCGTTTTGGGCTCCTTGTCGCCGTTTTGGGCTCCTTGTCGCCGTTTTGGGCTCCTTGTCGCCGTTTTGGGCTCCTTGTCGCCGTTTTGGGCTCCTTGTCGCCGTTTTGGGCTCCTTGTCGCCGTTTTGGGCTCCTTGTCGCCGTTTTGGGATACTTCTCGCCTTGTTGGGCTCCTTGTAGCTGGTTGGGCTACTTTTCTTTCACGTCCTGCGCATGCGCCATGGGAGTTTGTTTTGGTTCTGGGCTGTGTGCACACGTGTAATGCATACATTTTCCCTCGGGGGGGGGGGGGGGGGCTTCGCCTCTCGCTCTTTTCTTAATCCAATCCGTGCTTTGTTGCTTTGGGGGTGTTCTGGGGTGCCGCTGTGGGAAAGTCACGTGGTTTTTCCCTGCGTTCTAGGGTGGGGAGCCTCCTTCGCCGCTCCCCTCCTCTCCAGCATGGGCGCCCTGGCCGCCTCCGGCGGCTACGGACTCGAAAGCTTGCGTCATGGCCCTTCAGCGCCTATGTTCTGTAGGCGAGTTGGTGCGGTTTGGCGTCTCCTTCGTCCTGACGCTGTTTTTGTTTTTGGAAGTAGGAATGGGTGTACATGCGTACTCGAGAACGTGGACCGTACCACCCGAGGTGCCTACTGCAGGGCTATTAGCCCATACTGGGCAGCTCTTGTTCTCTCCACCTGATTCCTTCCTCGGTTCACGGGTGTCTGCGGGTGGCCTCTTGTCCCTTCCGAGGCGGCTCCTGCCCCTCTCCTATGCTTGTCCAACCTTACTTGAGTTTGGGGCCCCACCTCCACCTTGTTCCGCAGTGCAACGGTGGGGGTGCCTGTTCAGTGTGGTACGTTTTCCTGTGTCGAGGGTGTTTTTTGCTCGCCTCCTTGTGCTTGCAGGATTGGGTTCTGGCTCTTTGGTTACGCCTCTCCCCTGTCATTTGCCTGTCGAGTGGATTCTGTGCTTCATGGGTGCTCTCGTCTCTGCTCTTGGGGCTGTGTATGGGGTCAGCCCAAGTTGGGCTGCCTAATGTGTTCCTTCAATTGCCTGTTACACTGCACACATTTCTTCTACCATCCCTGTGGCTCAGTTGGGTGCTCGGTTTCCGCCTGTGTCCCCTTGTGTGCCACTCGTGTACGATTTATCTATCTTCTGTCGCTTCCTCGGGGAGTGTGGTGACGTTTTGCTGCGGTTTTGGTACTGCAGCTGCGTGTCGGGGTTGGTTGTGGCATTATGTTCGGCCCTTCCGTGCTCCCTCTGGGGCCCTCCTTCCTTGCTGGTCTTGCTGTGCCGGGCCTGGTTTTTCCATGTTCCTTGGATTCTGTCTTGTCCTCGCCTCGTTGTGCTGGCTGGGGATGAGCTAGGGGTCTTCATCTCGCCCCTCGCCTATCCTCCGGTTTCGGTTCAAGTTCCCTTCCTTAGTGTTTTTCCCGGTTGCCCCGGGATTTTTCTTGACGCTGGGGCTTTGAGGGGACAGCTCGGCCCTGGGGCCTGCAGGGTGGGTTCCCAGGGCTGGGGTGGGGCTCACGTAAGGGGCCTCAGGCCCAGTTGGTTCCCGCCGGGGTATTTCTACCCCTCTGGGCGGGGCTTGCGGTTTTGTGGTGTGAGGTTTTTCTATTCCCCTTCTCCGAATGTGCTTTGTGGGCGTCGGCCCCTCCCTGGGCTCGATTTCCTTGTTCATTGTGCCCGTTGTTTCCGTCCTGTCGGTGGGTGCTTTTCTACGGTCTTCGCCCCTTTTTTCCGGGACGGGCCTTCTCCATCATGTCCCCCTCTTCTTGGGGTTTCTGCATGACTTTTGGTCTCGGGTACGACGGGGTTTTTGTGCCTTCGTCCTTTGTGTTTGCTTCTTTTTGTTCTCGAAGGTTCGGGACAGTTTTGCTACTTCCCTCCGGTCCTTTCTAGAGCTTGTGGGTCCTATTCCCGGCAGCTTCTGGGTGTTTGGCCTTTTTGTTCTTTTGTGCATATCTCTTCTCTTCGCGCTGTCTCGGCGCTACTTGTTTTCCTGGGGGCGATTTTGCTCCTTAATGAGTCTTTACGCTCCTGCCCTTCTGCGGGATGTTGGTGCGGGGCGACTCCTTATGTGGGTTCCTTCCCTGTCGGCTGCACTTGTGGCGGTGGACTTGCACGCTTGTGGCATTTTGGTTTAGGTCCTGCGTTTTCTTTTCCC